CAACAAAATGGAGCATAAATGGTGCTTGTTTTCTGTTTCTTGGCAAAGGCAGGTGGTGACAATTCTTTTTTTTTTTTTTCCCATTTGAAGAATGCAATGTAAATGATATCTGGGAATCATTTTGGTTTGTTGGATAGTTATTAAATTTTGACTTTGAATCAACCAGTTCTTTTATACTGTTCTCAAAGGTTAACAAGAAAATGCGTAGATTATTTCATCAAACTATCACCAAGTACATCCCAAATTTTCAGTTTCCTCCTAGACAAATTCTCAATTTCGAGGAAAGTGATACCTATACAAGGGTTCAAGTTTCAAATCGATATTTGCAGAGTTGATTATCCCTCTCGAAAACATAGATGGACTATGATAATCAGTATGCTAAAAGTAAGCAATCACTTTATTTCAAGGTACTATCGTTCACCTCCAGACTGACTTTTGATAATCGCCCAAGAAGGACAGGACAAATCTATCAGATATTAATTAGGTTACGTCTGTAAATAGTCAAATAACTTGAATTTCGGAAATTTCAGAATAAGGCAGTCCAAGACTAAGATACAAGTATCCTAGCATAAACAATCCTAATCCATGCAGTCGGCTTTGGAAGAGAACTCATTCAAAGGGGAGTAGTATTGACAACGGCCTTCAACGTCGTCATCTCCAATTCCAATTCCAATTCCAATTCATCAATCCACAGAAAACTTTGACTATGCAAAAGCTCTTTCTCTTTCTTCTCCTCAATTTTCATTTGTCTCCTCCTCCAATATTCGAGCTTCTCTGCTCTTTCCTTCATCTGCGTTATCAGATTTACACCCTATCAGCCACAAAGCACCGTGCTAGGTCAAATTGTTAGGAGAACAAACCATTAAAGCAGCCGCTTTTATTCTTCCATCTAATGGGGACAACTTTATATCAAGTTCGTAAGAAACTTCTTGATCATTTTGCATCCTCAACCCCCTAAAAAGGTTGAATGATAAATAAACAAAAAGATAAATACAAATCTAAGGAAAGACAAATAACTCAGATTTGAGTAAGAGGTTTCTATTTATTCGCACCCAGGAGGGTGATAAAGATCCAGCTACCACATGACATCTAGAAACTCAACCAGGTTGCAGATTATCTGTTTCAAATATGATGTAGGACAATCCTATTGTAAATATGATTATGATTAGATATTTATAATAAAATGTCTAGTTGTATTAAGTTTTATTTTTTTATTCTAATATTAATTAGAACATGATTTCTAATTCCTTTAAGATTAAGATTTTATTAGTTTCTTTATTTTAATTTCCTTATATTAATAGGATTAAGAAATAATTTTGCATAGAGACATTTTCAACAACAATCAATTATTATTCAATAATATTCCAATATTGTTTTTAATTACTACATAATTCTTATTACAAGAATTTTATAAATTCTTACGCACCAAAATTGGTATCATAGCAAGAAAATTGCTTTAATCCGATGGCCAACAAAGGTATTGTGCACAATCGAACCGCCGATGACGAACGGAGGCTCGACAAACATGAACAACAAATCAAGAGGATCGACGAAAGCCTTCATAACATCACGCAGATGCTGACTGCATTGAGTTTTGAAAGGAATCGCGAGCCCATGGAGAAGCAAACTAACAAGAATTTGTAGACCTTAATTACTATGAATGTTGGTTGTTTCAACAAGCATAGAACACACTAACATGTCGCTAGAGAATTTCCTCGAGTCCTAGTCAAGTTTGAACACACACAAGTTATCAAGGATTCTTTTTTTCAATAAAACTCGAGGACGATTTTTTTTTTCAAATGTGAGATTGATGCAGGACAATTCTAATGTAAATATGATTAGGATTATATATTTATAATAAGATGTCTAGTTGTAATAAGTTTTATCTTTTATTCTAATATTAATTAGAATACAATTTTTAATTTCTTTAATATTAGGATTTTATTAGTTTATTTATTTTAGTTTCCTTATATTAATAGGATTAGTGAATAATTTTGCCTATAAATATAGAGGCACTGCACACTTTTCAACAACAATAAATTATTATTCAATAATATTCAAGTAAGTTATTCCAATATTGTTCTTAATTACTACATAACGCTATTCATCTCCACTGGGGTTGAGCCTCAGTCTATGTGGCAATTATGTGACATTAAATGATAAGACTCATTTAAATACAAAGTGACATGACTCATTTAATTGATTCTATCATTTAATGTTATGTAATTGTCACATAGACCGAGGATCAATCCTAGTGGGGATGAATAGCATTATTTTAATTCTTATTACAATAATTTTATAAACGCTTCCGTACCAAAGTACATGTATCGAAATTAATTAAATTGCAACACACGGAACTTCATCAAAAGTTTATCATATTAAAAATTGATAGCCATGAGAAATTAACAGGTGCCAATCAGGAAAATAGCTGCTATATGATGTAGATTTTGTATTTTGAAAATAGTGACAAGATGGGTATTTTTTCATCTTCTTGAAGTGCAAAGTAGAGGACAAACAATGAAAGTACCACACATTCATATTCTGAATGGAAATAAGTAATGAACATACTCACCCCGTCTCTGGCTAGACAGAGTAAAATTAAAATCTAGGGAAGAAAAGACAGGATTTTGCAGTCATGAATGCATATATTTGCAAATACAGTAAAATAATGCATTCCATAACTTTTCCTGAAAGAAGAGCAGATGAAAATTCATAATTTCTAGGTCCAAACAAAATCTAATTTACGTGCCAAACTAAGCATAAGGTAATCCATCACGGATTTCTCATTGCATAAGGTGAAATGTGTTGAAGAAGTTGCAAAGACTCATGAATAGTGCTAGTTTGAGATTTTCAAGGAGGAGATGCAACCTCAATGAAATCCTTTCATATATAAGAAAACAAATCCAAGAGCAGATGGGTGAATTGTTCCAATTTATGGTCCACTGTCTTTTACCATGCACATTTATTATATGACTTCGTCCTCTGGCATTAGGTAATAATGAATAACAGAAAAATACTTTTTGGTTAAATATCAGACCAAATGGCTTCGCCTAATTCAATAGTTGCTTATGTTTAATAGTTTTCAATATCCACATAGAGATTGCATAAAGAATCTTAGAAGATATAACACTTAACCAAGTCTGTTGAAGCAAGCAAAAATTTATATGAAACAAAAACATTGCTAATGAACTTGAGCACGGGACATTATATAATTCATTTCCAACGTTTTATAGATAGACACGAGTATGACAAATATAGAGAAGGTAATATGTAGCAAATTATATGCAACAAAAATACGCCGGCAGTATTAACAATGAGATGATTCTTGTCATGAATTCAGATTGAATCAGAGCAGAAAAATTATATGTTCAATTTGAATAGTAATCGTAAATCAAGAGCGCTGCTCTCTAATCATAACATTAATCAACAACAATGAGAACACAGCTAACAAAATCCAGCAGCAAAAGCGTAAATTTAAACGTGTAATAAGCATGCTCATCCTCAAAATGAAATAAAGATCAAAACGGAAGGCATAAAGCTGATTTCGCTTACCAGTTCGCCGGAACTCTTCTTCGGCGGCCTGTCTCTCAATAGCCTCGGCCTTCTTCTTCGCAGCCTTTGCTGCTTTTCTCTCCTCATTTGCGATTCTCAGTGCCTCTTTTTTGTCCGCGTCTTTGCGCAATTTCTCGAGCCTCTCCGATTCCATTTCCTTGATGTACTCCTTCCGGATTTCCTTGACTTTCCGGGCGTAGTCTCTTCGGAGAAAGGAGAGCTGAGCTTCGGATCGCGGGGAGTCTTCCAGTAGTTAATGAAGATGCTGGGTTTAAGGAAATCGTGGTCGCCGGAATGTTTATTCACATTGGCAGCTGAAGATGGGGAAGGTTTGGGCGTGGAGGACAGTTGGCGGAGGAGGTGGTGGTTTGACGGTGGTTTGCGGAGGAGGTGGCGGTAGAGCGACATATTGACCGGCGGAGGTGCTGGACGTTTTACTTGCATGTACACGTGCAACATTTGGCTCTATTTCAACCCCATTTTTATTTTTTATGAAAATGATTTTTGTTTATATAATTTTATTTTTAGTAAATGTGAAACTATTACTGAATAATATTTTTCTATCTTTATTTTAGTTTGTTAAGATTTTTTGTTTATATGCTAACATTTTTTTTTAAAATCTAAAATAGATATTATGCCCCCATTTGAGCCTCATTTTTGAGTTAAAATTTATTTTAAAATAATATTTTATTAAAGAATGTACGATTAAAAAATAAAGAAAAAATTTAAATTTACATGTAAAATTATTTTATGGGAGAATATGTAATTGAAAATGAATTTTGAAAAAACGAGTCTTGAAAAAATGGGAGCCAAACATAGGCTATATCATTTTTTTTTCTTACTAATCCAGAAAAAAAGGAATTTGATATATAAAATTAAAAATTAAAAGAGCCAGAACAGTATTCATTTTTGGCAAGGCAGAATAGGAATAACTGTGTTCCAACTCGGGCATTTCAAGCAGGGACTTGAAAACAACAGCAATTCAAATCTACCAATCACAAGCTGTGGGAAACTTCCGTTCAATGTATGTCAATGAAAACCTATAAACTAAAACGTATTCGATTTACACGACCAGATTTATTAGCTCCATGTGTCAAATCTCAAGAACTTCATATCCCAGATAATGCTATGCTACCAAACATTTCATATCTTCTCGTAATATTCTCAAGAACGTAACTGAAACTTGTGATACAGGAGAAGATACCATGTCTTCAGATGAATTGCTTCAGAAACTCTGTAGCAACCAGCCTCCCTCTTGTGTTCACGGATAATTTTAATTCACTTATCTCTTTATCAATATCCTGCCATTCAAAGAAAGAAAGGAGATGATTAGAGGGACCAAGATTCAATTACCTACTCAACAATATTATGCCAACAAAAGAGAAATGTGATCCTACTGAACCAAATAAAAGCCTATATATACTTCAAGATACGAGGGTTCAAGATCGGAGGATCACACCTCCTGGATACTACTTATTCACATAACTCAGATGAATTCAAAAAGCAGTTTCGAATAATTGGTTTAGTTAGGTGATCGGAGGGCTTTAGGGCTATTATAGATAGTCAGTCAGTCATATGTCACTTCGAAGGATATTATGTAGCAAATTAAAATTTCAATACCTTTTGAGCATCCTGTTAAAATGAAATAGCAATGCAACTTTTAACAAAAAGATTGCATGATGAAAACAACAAGAAAGAGATCATATAATACTTGATGCTCTGTGAAGGTAAAAAAGACCGGTATCATGTTTGGTAGACAGTTTTCTTGCTATCTCTAAATTAACTAGGATATTTAATCGAAAAAAAAAAAGGAAAAAACCTTGCAACAAAGACAGGTAAAAAGAGTTCCAAGTCATCGACTTAATGAGGGAATGGTATCTACTAAACAGTAAATGTACTGATCCCTAGTGTTCAATAATTATCATAACTTGTACCAGTTTTCTCTGCCCAATTTTAAGGCAATGAAATGATTGTCCTCAAGGTGACAATCATGATTCCTCCAGTGAAGATACCTCATGATAGGTATTTAGCTTCGTTACATAAAGGGAAACTTGAGGCTCCATATTACCATCTTCTTACTTTTCAATTTCTTTATTGCTCATATTTTGTTGAATATGCATCGAAAAAAGAATCACTATCCAAGCATATTTGCAAATTAGAGAGGTAATTGCACCAAGCTTACCTCCATGAACTGCAAAATAAAATCTATAAGTTTCTGCTTCTGCATCTCTTCACAGTGATAATTAGTTATGAGAAAACTTATGTCATAACCCTGAAAAAATTACACCATTGAAAAGAGTCGATTTGGAAGTGAAAAAGTCTATTTTTATTCATCTATTGTGCAAAGGTAAATACACAAATTGAAAAAAGATATTTACACTCTTAGTCCCTAACAAATTACAAA